ATTGGCATCGGCAGTTCAATTATATCCGTAGCTTGGTGATGTAATGTTAGCGCTGGTGCTACAGGGCATCATTGGTTTTGGCAGGGCAATTCTGCCAGATACACCCCCCCCCTAATTAAAACGGGCTAATTTCGTCCCTGGAGTTGTCTTCTACACTTCTACACATTGCTCACTCATGCGTGGCACATGTTCAATCTATGGTACAACTGACATAAAGTATAGTAATTATAACCATACTATTACGCTACACTGTCATTTGAGGATTAATTATCTGCATCAAGGTATATATATTCGCCTATAGAAATAGAAAACCACAGGTTATTAGCTTTGAGATAAAGTTTGGAACATTGCTATATCGACTAGTTTCAACGGGTTCTACGAGCTTTGTAACACATGCATTACTAATTTCAGAAATATATTTTCAAATTTTAATCTTCTTAACTTGTCTTGATATGCTATCGACGTTAAAAATAAGTTAAGTTCTTATGCCACACGAGTTCTTGAAATAGTGTCTTCAAATAGTCAAACTGATAGTATATACTTACTTCCTACAGACATGATCTTTTTAAACTATGCGTTGTTTCCTGCATCATTTTTGATCACATAATCGTCTCCTGGGGTGCACGATGTGTTTCCTGCATCATTTTTGATCACATAATCATCTCCTGGGGTGCACGATATGTTTCCTGTATCATTTTTTATCACATAATCATCTCCTGAGGTGCACGATGGTGTTTCCTGTATCATTTTTTATCACATAATCATCTCCTGAGGTGCACGATGTGGTGTTTCCTGTATCATTTTTTATCACATAATCATCTCCTGAGGTGCACGATGTGTTTCCTGCATCATTTTTGATCACATAATCATCTCCTGGGGTGCACGATATGTTTCCTGTATCATTTTTTATCACATAATCATCTCCTGAGGTGCACGATGTGGTGTTTCCTGTATCATTTTTTATCACATAATCATCTCCTGAGGTGCACGATGTGTTTCCTGCATCATTTTTGATCACATAATCATCTCCTGGGGTGCACGATATGTTTCCTGTATCATTTTTTATCACATAATCATCTCCTGAGGTGCACGATGTGGTGTTTCCTGTATCATTTTTTATCACATAATCATCTCCTGAGGTGCACGATGTGTTTCCTGCATCATTTTTGATCACATAATCATCTCCTGGGGTGCACGATATGTTTCCTGTATCATTTTTTATCACATAATCATCTCCTGAGGTGCACGATGTGGTGTTTCCTGCATCATTTTTGATCACATAATCATCTCCTGGGGTGCACGATATGTTTCCTGCATCATTTTTGATCACATAATCATCTCCTGGGATGCACGATGTGTTTCTTGCATCATTTTTTATCACATAATCATCTCCTGAGGTGCACGATGTGTTGTTTCCTGCATCATTTTTGATCACATAATCATCTCCTGAGATGTACGATGTGTTGTTTCCTGCATCATTTTTGATCACATAATCATCTCCTGAGATGTACGACTTGTTTCTTGCATCATTTGTGATCACATAATCGTCCTCATCTAATCCTACTCTTGTCCCATGGTTATTCTTCAGTTGTCCATCAAAGACAGCGTAATCATAAGTGGAGGTTTTGGGCGGAGCAATCGCGGTTTTATCGACGTACTCATATTGGCGTTCACACGGTACTTCATAATCTTGAGATATTCTTTGTGTTGATTGGTTGCTGTTTGAAGGTTGGAGTGGATTTAAAGGCACGGGTGATGCCTCCGAGGGGGGTGGTTGATTTTGATCTGTAATTTGAAACATCAGTTTCAAAATTTGTCTTGTAAATTACATCAGGCCTTAAAATATCTTTTCCAGGGCCGTCTGACAAAATGTCCGGTGACGTTGAGTTTGGGTCGGACATATGTCCGATGACCTTCAGTTCAGTTTTGACTCGGAAATAAGTCTGAATGACACAAATGAATAAACGGTAAATGTTGTAAAGATATTAAATAATTTGTTTCTTTCATACTTATTTCCAAGCCAAAATTAACTTGCTTGCCAGAACAGCAGTATTAAAAAAGACTTCGACAGCTTAAGACCGTTTTCCACTTCACCATTTCGCTCGCCGCCCCGCGCTCGTCTACGTTAAAACAACATTTGCAGTTCACCTTTTATACAATAGTACTCTGATTTTCCATTTAACATACAAGCCTCTAATACTGGGCTAGGTACGTACATTTTTATTTACGTTGGACAAAGCTACAGTTCGGTCGGACACCAATACACTCGGGTCGGACAAACAATAAACTTCAGTTTCATTTTAGTCGGACAGAATGTCCGGTGGTTTCCTCTTTACGTCGGACAATTTTACGAATGGGTCGGACAATGTCCGTGACCGACCAATATTTTAAGGCCTGCATATTGGAAATTATTTAATAAACGCCCGGAACTTTTATTAAATTGTCGTACATTTAGAATGGAATGTTTATTAGAGAAGAGGCGTCTATTAGAGAGGCATTCATTATTACATACAGTAGTGTTACGCTTTTAACGAACCCTTTCATTTATTTTCCGTATAGGAAACCGTATAGGCATACAAATGCCAATGAAACACCATCGATTACGGTATTTTAGAAAAACAATGTCAACTCTGATAGTTCACATACTTTTTTCAGAATGCTCGCAAAGTGCTGCATGGGGGCGTCTATAGGTAGAGAAAGGCATTCGTTACAAAATGCTGATTTGAACTGGGCCCCTATTTATGAAGAGAGTTTATCAGAGAGTGGGCAATTATAAATTTATCTTTATCAGAGAGTGGGCAATTTCTTTGGAATCTGTTGTTAAGCCTGTTCTTAATTAAAAGAAGTTATTTTGTATGACCATTTGACACAATTTACGATGATAGCATCAAGATCTTTGGAGAATTTTGTTAGCTAGCATCAGTTGCATGCTTTATTCTTGAGATTCTTTAACAACCAAGCCGGCGAGTGCCTGCTTTGCATATTGGTTTCTTAATTTGGGAATTCGATATTTCTCCTTTTCGGTGCTATCATTTTTCAAATATTTTCAAACAGTTATACCTTGGTTTTCTCTATAGTCTTTCTTTGACCGAGTATGTCCATATCTATAAAGAAAAAATTCTTTAACTTAAAAAATAATTTATTATTACAATTAATAGACAACTGATAGATCTATATCCTACATAAATAAAACTGCAGGGGGTGTGTGTAAATTTAGTAGGTGGCCAATTGTAACTGCAAATAATATCTAATCATTTCTTGTAAACCTTTGTGATTCAGCATGATGTAAATAAAGTATTTAATGTATTTAAATAACAAATTGCCTCTTAGCCACTCTCTTCAACAGCAACTCTATTATGCTCTAGTATACCTTTATATCAATTATGGATTTATAAGTTGGGGCATTACTTATACATCCAAACTAAAAAAAAATCCGAACTGGTCCAAATAAATGTATCAGAAACATTTTCTTTGCCAATAAAAAAGAAAATGCTACGCCTTATTTTAATTTATTAAGAATACTAAACTTTGACAATATGTTCTCACTCAAAATAGGGACATTTATTTACAAAGTTATCAATGAAAAAGATAATCTTCCGTCGGCGTACTTCTTTAGCATCTAGTGTCATGCTTATAACACGCGATTTACATCAATTAAAAACAAAATTTTATCAGACCGAATGCTCGTACAAACTATGGAAAATTCACATTCAAGTTTGTATCTTCAAAAATTTGAAGTATTTGACTATAGTATTAAACAGTCTATATAACTGTAAATATATTCAAAAAGAGGTACAAAAACTTTCTACTATTTAGTCAAGATTAATTTTTTACACACTTATTTCACGTTCGCTGTAAATAACTTATAATGTAGACAGTGGTCAACTCGAAAGCCTTACGCTACTTCGACTACTGTGCATGCATATCTGATTATTATATACCTCTATATAACTTTTACTTTTTTATTACACATACATTTACCATTTGTATAATACTTGTATATAGATTATGTGTGCTAAATTAAATTCTTCTTCTTCTTCTTCTTCTTCACATACCTTATAACAGTTCTTCTTCTCTTTCTGAAAACATACACAAGGAGCAAAACAATCACCAACAGCACAACAAGACCACGAAAAACACTACCAGTCACAGCACCATTGCTCGACGATTTTACTACCACAGTCATTGATGGTGAACTGAGCACCATTGAAGACAACGTCTAAATAAAATGTACGCAAAATCTGTTACACCAGGTACCGGTAGTTGAATCCCTCTTAATCCAGAGCTTTCTGGTAATATTGTCACTATCTATACTGGCACAGACCAACAGTGAATACAGTACAACATTTCATGGCACAAGTTAGAGTATACAGCAGTCAGTTCAAAAAGTGCTGTTCATCAACTAGTAATTTTCTCAAACTTTGTTTAAATGCACGAAAAGCTGTGAAACTACTATGTGTATATAGATATAAATCCACAATTTAAAATCTTTACTTTGCACACCTTGAAATAATAATACCACCTTGGTATTGTTGTTAACTCTGAACTTGCAAGTTTAAAACCTGATCATATGTGTTGTGTTTGGACTTCTACTCGTGATACAAAACAAAAAAGTTTAACTATCCCGTCAACTATCGCTACGGAATAAATTTGAACGTCCATGGTAAACTAACTCACGTTGTTTTATTAATCTTGTTGGCTGGTGATGTGGCGACAAATCCAGGTCCTTGTTCTACTCCATTTTATCCCAGACCTCCTAATGAAGCTAACCCTCATAACTTGGAATGTTTATACCTTAACGCAAGGAGTTTAAGTAACAAAACGAGTGAACTTCAAATACTGGTGACGGACATTGATCTGATTGCTATTACAGAAACGTGGCTTGAACCGGAGATTGTAAACTGTGAACTTTTGCCTGAAAAAGATTCCATCATCCATCGTAGAGACAGGGTTGATAGAACTGGTGGAGGAACTCTGCTAGCAGTCAAGATTACTTACTATCCTAAGCGTGCGAAGGAAAGATCTCGAAAGTAATACGGAAATGTTGTTTGTTAGATCCGTCCAGAGAGTAAAAAAAAACTTCTGGTAATTATATTTTACAGACCACCTGACACTGACTTGAACTACATCAAAGAATTAAAAAAATCTCTTCAGATTATCCAAAATAACAACAAATTTGACCAGCTTATTATCTGCAGGGACTTTAACCTTCCACATATTGATTGGACCACCGGATCACCTACAACCGATGACTCCTATTCACAACTACTTTACTGTCAAAGACAACTGCCTGTGGCAACTGGTAGACTTTCCCACAAGAGCTAAAAATACACTGGATCTTGACGTCTGATGAAGTTGGGAACGTAGAAAGGTTTGAAGAAAACGGATCACAAACGGATCACAAACTTATCAGTTTTACCGACAACCTGAATGTTCAGAAGATCGAACCCAAAACCAAGCGTACCGTGTAGAACCCCCTCCCATGCCGACTAATATACCCACATTTTCACTTTCTCAACTATCCAACATTGAACAACTCTGTCAGAGTTGCAAGTTGCTGAAGTACTTCGCCACTTAGACCCAACAAAGGCGTGCGGACCTAATGACATTCCAAGTAGACTATTGATAGAACTTGCTCATGAGATTGCCCCTTCATTGACCAAGGTATTCAACATGTCCCTTTCCCCTAGGCTTAGTACCCACTCACTTTAAAAAAGAAGGTCCAACACTGTCATCCAACTACCGACCAATTGCCCTTCTCTGCGTGCTGTCCAAGGTCTTGGAACGTTGTGTTCATTTTCATTCCTATCACCATCTAGCACCTCTCATCTATGAGATGCAACACGGTTTCGTTAGGGGCAAATCTACAACAACACAACTGTTGGAGGTATATCATGACATCTTGGAATCTGTGGCTAGTGGCAAGGAAGTTGATGCCATTTACCTAGATTTATCGAAACCATTTGATAAACTACCACACAGTCTGGGAGGTTCTCTCCTCTATTGGAGGTTCTCTCCTCTCATGGTTCCAAAGCTACTTAACAAATAGAAAACGAGTCGTTCTTCATGGCGTCTGTTCCGACTGGCTTCCGGTTACGTCTGGTGTGCCACAAGGCTCTATACTTGGTCCGTTACTGTCTCTGGTGCATTGCAATGACGCTCCAGATTACATTCAGGTTAATTCAACGCTCGCACTCTTTGCCGACGATTCCAAACTATACAGAACTCTTGAACATCCAACCTCTAGCAGCTTCCTTCAAGCAGACCTTAACAACGCTCAGAGATGGAGTATTGACATGAAAATGGAGTTGAACTCCAACAAATGCAAGGTAATGCACATCTCGAGAAAGAAATTATTGGAAAACAAAACGCTGTACAATCTTAGATTTCCGCCGAGAGATCTCCGACCTGTTGCTAGTTTTCAAATAAAAAACCGGACTAATATCTATAGATGTCAATAACTATTTATGCACCTTCGAACGACGCAATTACGACGAAAAATTTAAACTTTCTGATGAATCACAAACAGAACTCTTTTTTATAAGATCAGCAGACCTGTGAACCAGTCTTTCATCAGAACTGAAATCTCTAGTAATTAACTCTAGTATATCCATATTTAGAGCCAGGCTACGCGAGTTCTATAATACTAAATTACCATCATATAGTCCTCCTGGCTGCATCTGAGTAAATTTGTTATATAGTTGTTTGTTTAACCATATACTAGTATTGAAAGGGGTAAAGTGTCAATTGGGACGCAAGTCCTGTTCTTTTCTCCAGTCACGTCTATGTTTAGTGTGTTATCTTGGAAGAATGTTGTGTCAGTGTTGCTTATTTGCTATCTAGTACACATATTTTGTATATATCTATATGGAGGTGACAAAATTATTACATTATAAATTAAATGATACAAAACTAGAAAATCACACTTAACTGATGGTTTTCCTTGCGGTCATGATTCAGTGACCAGAATGTTCTATTTTCTTTTCATTGTTTTAAAAGTCCCACCGTCGACTGTTCTCCATGCCATCCAGTCACGCATTGTTTTGACTTGTGATATTATGCAAAGGTGCAATGGTTGCATTTGGATTGCTGAATTGAAGCTTTTCCCAACTTAATTGAAAAGCCTTATTTGATCTCACTCATAGACCATTGGCCATTGCTGTGTACAATACTTTTGTACACATTTTTATCAGAAAAAAAATTAAATCTGTATACCATACCGAAGAATAAATTATACTTTCTGTTAAAACACTGAACGATGATCTTGAAGGGGTTATTGATGACGATGTTATTCCTCCCTGTGATGATGATGTCTCTGTTTCTAGTGGTAATGTCATTGTCTCCAGTGACGATGATGTAATTGTCTCCGGTAGTGATGATGTCACTGTCTCCAGTGATGATGATGTAATTGTCTCCGGTGGTGATGTCACTGTCTCCAGTGATGATGAAGTCATTGTTTCCAATGATGATGATATCATTGTTTGGAATGATGATGACATCATAGGTTGGAGTGAGTATGATGACTCTGTTTCCAATGGTGATGATGTCATTGTTGTATCATTGATGTGGTGCTGTACACAAATACTGAAGATTCAGTGGACGGTGCAGGGGTTAAGTAATAAGTTGTGGACACAACAGGAGCCACAGTTGATGTTGGGATGGTACCATCTTGAACTAAATACATATTTGAAATATTAAAGTTGGATTCCATTATTAAGCAACACAATACATTTGGTGGTGAGGCCCAAAGGATCGAAATGGGGGTTGGATCCCCCAAACTGATTTTCACCCTTCAAGTGGCAATGCATCCGGATGCAGCCTATTTTAATATTTTATCCTGCCTGATGCCAGACAATTTTTCTCTTCAAGGGAAGAAGGCTGCCACTCAATGGGTTAACCAGACCATGTTAACCCTTTAAGTGGTAAATGGTAATGTGCCCTGATGCGCCATACTTTATTGTTTAGTACTGACTGCCTAATGCCAGACGACTTTACTTGTCAAGGGGAGAGTGCAGTGCCACCAATGGCTTAATTAAACTATATCTTTTCAAATCTAAGGAGTAACGTCAAACATTAATAAAAATCTTTCAGTTAAAAATTATAATCCTTGCATCTGATCAGAACAGCTACACAAGTTATGGCTTCGGAACAAGTTATGAACATTTAATACAAAAATTGTTTTACCTGCAAAAACCCCATTCACTTTGAAAACCATTACACCAGTCTTATATTTCTTCTGTCTTTTATTTGAATTTTCACATGTGACATTGATCCTTATTATTCGACCAACAAATCTATAAGGATTGTCACTCCACTGTGAAAAAGACAATGCATGATATTTGTTGAAGGTTTTAAGACCTGAACGGGAGCAGTTGTAAAAAATGCAACTATAGTCTCTATCAAACATCACATATTCAATTCCAATATAGCAGTCTCGCTCCGCGCGCAAAATTACGCCTAGTGGAAAACAGGCTTAACACTGAGGTTAAAAATGTACTAAGTTAATAACATACAATAGACTTACATTCAATCTCAACATCATCCAACCTTCATATGTCATTTCAAGCCATGTGAAGCGTCTCTCAATATCATCATCATCAATTTCAATAATGCTGTAATTTAATAATAGATCTTTCACAGAATCCCACTGCCACAAATGTTCATCACTGAGCTCTTCAATATCATTCAGGTCACAAATTTCATTATAAAACTTTGGTGCGAGAAACTTTATTGTAACTGGATGAAATGATATGATTTCCAGGTGGCCACCAGGCTGTTCATTTTTGTATAACTTGAATCCCAAAGACGTTTGCCCTAAAAGTGTGTCATAGCAATGTGTCATGTACGAAATTAAAGCAACCTAATAAAGAGCATAATTAGCATTTTATTCTGGCTAATGCCAATTTTTTACCCAATTGTAGCCTTTACAGCAGACTTCAAAACAAATGTTGGTTTGAAGTCGGCCCATGCAGGTTTATCACACCCAAATGAACCCGTTAAATCTTACCTTGCTATATAAATTATGAAACAAATTCTCCTCTGCAATTAAAATTTAAAGTACGACTAACAAATTGGGTACAAAGCAGGCCAAAACATATAAAATTATAGTAAATTACTGTCAGGGAGTTATATACCAGCCTAGCAGGAAGTACTGTTATTTAAAGTGCAAATGAAAAGAAAATTATGTAAAATTCTATCACATATTTTTGTGAACAGCTCTCAAAATCCTTTTATACTTACTTGTATTACGTATTTCTTTGTCTTTCGTACATATCAACTTGGCTGTAACGAACGTTCTATAATCGCTTCCACACTGACAAATACATATGCCAATATTTGTCAAATCTGCAGAAACAAGCGACTTTCTTTTCTGGCAAAAACCAGAGCAGTCTTTAAAAACACCAGGGTAGGAGAAAATATCTTGTCTGTTCCGTGTAACATTTACAAGAACGCAGGAAGCATGACAACAAAACATTAAAACAAAATACAGCAATACAAACAGCATAATCAAATTTCTGCCAGGAAATATAAAACAATCCTTAACTTCTATATTAAGGCAAAGCTTAAGAGACTATCGTTCATGAAAATGCCGTTTACCAAAGTATTTTGAGAATCAAAGATACTCTTTAATCCTTGCAGCGCAATCAATATCGGTTTTTGTCGGTAATTAGTACGACCCTGCCTGTGACCATGTTATGGGTCGTACCATAGTAGGGAGTTTGGCGAATAAAACGGCAACGGCAACGTGGTCATCAACAACAGCATTGATCCTCAAAGACAAAGGAGAATGTAAATTGTCGCCGTGATGCAATGCCGTAGTTGTTGAAACTGGTACGCCATTTGCATCATTTTCACTGTGCATGCATGACTACGGCAATGTGTGAACACAGGAGAATCAGAGGTCCTGCCCCCCCCCCCCATACATAAACATTTTGACTATATATGTAACTCTCATTTTCGAAAGCTCAGCCCAAAAGCAGAGTTTTGTTGAATAATGAAGTCTATACAGAGATTGGCCAGCGGAATTCGAAAACTCAACCAATTCACAAATGTTGATTGGTGGCCAGTTGCTAGGGAGATTTGAGCTGTATCACTTTCGAAACCTCAACCGAAAGTTCTAATTAAACTCTTAATAATTCAATAGCCTAGCCCAGAAATCTTTATCTAGCAAGTTGTTATCGGTTACAAGAAAACAAAATGAACACTCTCAACTCTTGAGAATCTTTTGTTACACCCTTCCCTATTGGTTAACCGACACAATGTAATTTAAACTTCTAAAAGGCAACCGAAATCATGTTACCTATTGGATGTTTCTACAGACCGACTGGCATCACACATTTGCTTATATTAAAAGTAAATAGAGTTCGTTTTCCCTCAAATGAGTAGTTGTTTGTTTCAAGTTGTCCTAAAATGTATGCATAATCTTGTTTCGAGGTCAACTGTCATGGGTCGCCTTCTGAAAACAATATATCTTGAGATTTTAATAAAAATGGCCAAATATTGATTGTCTCGACCACTACCGATCATGTGACTTTGAAATTGCCAAATTTGGGATATTAGGTGACATGCCAGCACGGGGGTCACGCGCACTTGATTTTGACGACAAAGCAGTTCCTTTTTGAAATCTTTGAAATTTTTTTAATTTTTGTGAACTTAATGTTTAATTAGACAAAATATATTGAGTTACTGTTACGGATTTTTATATAAATAGGTGTATATTTTTGATGTGTTGTCTCCTAACTCTGCTAAAACCTAATCGAGTAAGAAAATGTAGAAAATTACTCTGTAAAATCTATACTGTTCAGAGTTCAGAGTTGCCTATAAAATGTATCTATAATAAATATATATATATTTTAATTATTTTCATTTATTCCAGTTCATGGCGGGCAAGATCAGTTCTTATGACTGCATGACAAATATATGTTAGGGGGTATTTGCTTAAAATTATTTTTATGGCTATAGTTTTATTAATCTTAATCCTAAACATCAGCCTAATCTTTAATCTCACCCTAATCCTGACTCTCATTCATAACCCGGCAACTCGCGCGCGCGGCCCTGGGGACGAAGATGTAATAAGCTAACTCGTGGGAGGCTTTCCATAACACGGCCAGACCGGTCAGAACGGTCAAATTGTTGAGCTTTGAACCTTAGAAAGAGGTCCATTTTCGCTAGATATTCGAAAGATCAGATCTTTCCACTAAAGCTACGTTTACATGCTGCGATTAATCGTGTACGATTCGTTTTCTGGCGTATGTCATTGAGTAAAAACGCGTAAGCTGCCTACATTTGAAATTTCTTTTTAACGAATCGGCAATGAATTATGGCACCAGCACTCATTTTAATACGCCAGAATACGAATCGTACACGATTAATCGTAGCGTGTAAACGTAGCTTAATACAGAGACATAAATTTTGGTCTGACCGATCTGGCCATTAAATGCATGGAAAGTGCCCCAAGTTTCAATCCTAAGGATACAATCCTTCACTTTGCCCAAGACAATTCAGAATTTCTTGCCGTCTGCATAATATCGTTATACGCATCATCCCGACTAATCATTGCACCAAATATGTACGGCAGCTGAAAAAAAAGGAGAAAAACCAGTTAATTTAAGAGGTTAAGAGGAAAATCTTTTGTATATGTTACGTAGCATGCGCTCAAAACTAATCAATTATACTTTTCCATTTGGTTATGACTATATATTCAAATTTTTCAATTTTTGATACGTTCCTCAAGCGGCAAACAAACTTAAAAAGTATGTTTAGTGCTTTATCTGTAAATTTATGCTAACACGAAGAGATTTTAGATGGTTTGCGAAAGAGAAAATGATCTCTCAAGTTCGGTAAGTTTTGCTTATATTACATGCTGTATAAATATGGCGACAATTTTACGGCATCGATGATATATCATTGTGTTTAAACAGTCGACAATATTTCACTATTATTTTGAGTTTCTCAACTGCCAAATACATTTAAAAAGATTGCTAACTGTGTAAACTACAAAATAAAGCTAAAACATAATAGTTTTGACTTTCGAGAAGAACGCCAAAACGATTTTAGGTTTTGAACACTTTTCATGAAAAAAATTGCCTCTTAACTCTTTTATACACACTGTAGATATCTATCATTTGTAACTTTTCCTTCCTATCAGTCCAGTGAGGTGAAAGACAGATGAATTAACTAACTCAACTATGCCAAGAAAGCCAAAAGGTTACAACTAGTTTTGTGTACCTCGTTTCTATCCTTCATACAAACTTCTATTGACATTCCGGTACCAGGCAGAAGAAAGAATGGCTTATACTGAAACAGAAAGGAATGATTATGAGAGACAAGTTGTCGGATAAAATATTGTCATCTAGCAGGGCTTGAAATAACGTCATTTCAGCGGATACGGCAAAATCATAGGCAAAACCTAGAAGTCGACCTTCTGTAGGATCTCAGACTCTCTATTCTGTGCCTGATGCTCTCTGACCTATAAATAATCTACTGGATACGTACCTTATTCACGCATCTTATATCACTCAATTTAATTAACACATTCTTGGCTGTGTTCGTCCGTGAACGTTCAAAACAGAGATAGCTAAAAACGAGAATTATTATCATTTATTAACTTCGCCAGTACACAGCAGTAGCCTTATTAGTTGTTGAGCATTTATATAAATTCTTTTCTACCTTTAATCATCAAGAGTCTACAACATGGACACTACAGCAAAAGCGGCAAAAGTCATTCCAAAGATATCTTACTTTTGAGTGAGATAAAGTCTGCCATGTTTTGGATTGACCAGCGGTCTTTGTTTGTCCAATAAACTGGTTCTCCAGCCATCCTCCCAGCCTACCAAAACACAAAGAAGAAAGTTTAGGCCACTGACTTCAACGGATCTAGGCAAGAAGAACAAAATCCATCACCACAGCTAGAAAGAGCATGTTAAAATTAGTAAAATTGCAAAGTTTGGTTGCGAAATGTTGAAAAATGTGGAAAATATAGCCGTACAAAATTTGCAAATTTCGCTGGGGTATATTTTCCGCATTTTAAAACATTTCGCGGCCAAACTTTGCAATTTTACTAATTTTAACATGCTCTTTCTAGCTCGTTCATGCTGGATCCATCCCTCACATGAAGTAGCCTGAGTACAATGGGAGAAGAGTGAAGCGATTACAACATGCGTGAAAACGAACAACCTGTTTCCGGTTGATATCGACAAGCTTGACCAAGGAACTGCACTCTCAGAACAAGTTGTCAACAATGTTGCTACACCATTTATTATAGGACTGTTCGGTATATCGATATACCGAAAATATCGGTATTAAATCAATATCGGTATATTGATACCGGATATTCAACCATACCGATATACCGAAATTTCGGTATACCGGAATTTTTCGGTATACCGTGGTAAATTTACCAACTATATGGCGAAACCATAGCTTTTATTTTACTACGGAATGGCAATTCAAATAACTTTCTACTGCAATGATTTAGAATTTCCACTTCAATTTCCACTACGTGTCGTTCGAAACATGTTCGAAACAGCTTCGAAATGATCGTTTTCCCTTTTAGAATTACTCAAAATTTCATTCAGGAAAACCGGTATACCGATAATATCGGTATAATTTTTTCGGTATACCGATACCGAAAATTTCTCATACCGAACATTCCTACACCATTATTCACTAGTAACAATGCTGTAACAATATTCTTGAACTGTCTTTGCCAGTGTAGGTAGTAAGGAGAATTTCGACGTTTCAAGCGAAGGCCCTTCGTCTGGAGCAGTGAACTCTAAGAGAACTGGAACGATAACTTGGCCGCCATCTTTGAAGCCACTCATGATGGCGCGCCATGTAGGTATGGAGTGGAAAATACGCCGCCTAAAAGATGTCTGTTTTCGACCACTAAATAGCTGTATTTCAACAAGGAAAAAAGCTAAAAACTTTCAACTATACCTGAAATTTAATACAAAACATGATTCCAAAACGTACAGCAGTTATAAAGTTCTTTTTTCAGGAGTCAAAGTGCGAAGTTTTTTTCGGCACGTTCAAACTTGTGTAATATTTTGAATATCAAGCTGTTACCCAGGAAGTTTTTGCTGTTAGTAGATGTAAAATACTTAGGACTATCCAGGAAACAAGGTTTGAATCTTTTAAGTTGAAGCCTTTTGATAAAAAAGTGCTTTTTCTTGCTGATTTTCGCTCAAAAACAAACTTTTGACTGAATTTCCCGCTCCTCGAAACTCTCCCCAGTCCTTTTGAAAGTTAATTTATTGCTCGCTGAGCTCGCGAGAAGCGCCATCTTGGCTTCAGGCAAGTATAGGCATGTTTATCTGCAGTTAGCGTTCCAGTGTTATTACAGTTCACTGGTCTGGAGTTACTAACGGAAGGGCCTTCGCTCGAAACGTCGAAATTCTCCTTATATATTTTCAGGTTGTTGCATATCCCTACCAACCAAAGCTTGTTCACAGTAACAACATTGTTGACAACTTGTTTTTGGATGGGTATCCATACAGAATAGTTCTGTCAGTGATAAATAAGGCGAGTTTAATTACACAGTTGTACAACTACCTTTAACAAAAACTTCGTCACTTGTCAGTTTGTATCGTTCACAAAATAATATGGAGTTTGTCATGGACGAGTCGGAAATCAGTGCCACACTCGGTCGATGACTGCTGGAGCCTGGTGACTACATGTTCAATTAAAATGTGAATAGAAATAGAAATCATAGAATTAAATAAATAATAGGTCCAAACAAAATTAGTCTAATGAGTTTCTCTTATACCTCATAATCCACATCCTCAGCACCAACTTCACAATCAGTAGGTAACTCAAGCCACAAGTGATGTGTCGTATCGTATCTTTTCTTGAGCTACAGACAATTAGTATAAAATAAAATTTGTGTTTTTATGTTACTCAACCACTTCGGCAGTTTCTGAATATCACCACTACCATCATTCATCATCACTACCATCACTTCCACAATCATCATTGTCACCATCATCATCACGACTGGTCACCATCATCACGACTGGTCACAATTATCACCACCTTCATCACCAGCACCACCATCATCACTATGATCATCATCACAACTAATCACCATCATCACCACCTTCATCACCACCTTCATCATCACCAGCACTGTGATCATCATCACCACCACCATCATCACCATCACTATGATCATCATCACAACTATAATCACCATCATCACCACCTTCATCATCACCATCATCATCACCAGCACTGTGATCATCATCACCACCACCATCATCACCATCACTATGATCATCATCACAACTAATCACCATCATCATCACCATTAATCATCACCATCACTATGATCATCATCACAACTATAATCACCATCATCACCACCTTCATCACCACCATCATCATCACCAGCACTGTGATCATCATCACCACCACCATCATCATCACCAGCACTGTGATCATCATCACCACCACCATCATCACCATCACTATGATCATCATCACAACTAATCACCATCATCATCACCATAATCATCACCAGCATTATGATCATCATCACAACTATAATCACCATCATCACAACTAATCACCATCATCATCACCATAATCATCACCAGCATTATGATCATCATCACAACTATAATCACCATCATCACCATCATCATCACCAGCACCATCATCACCTCATCACCAGCACTATGATCATCATCACAACTAATCACCATCATCACCACCATAATCATCACCAGCAATATGATCATCATCACCACCATCATGATCACCACTCACTAACATCACAATTATAATCTATTCTTTTACCTTTGGAAATCTATTATAAACAGGTGAAATAACAAACAACTTACAGCCAAGCACCATACCTAAGAAATAATTTGAAATTGAGCAAGTTACTTTTCAACGAAGCAATTCAGCATATACAACACATGAGACTAAAATATTGCATAGACCAAAATGATGTAGAAGTATTTACCCAGCAGCATGACAAACTGCGGCCCAGTTAAGAATATTGACGAAATAAACAGCAACCATAACACAATGTAGAGCTTCAACGTCACACGAGAAGCTTTCCAAATTAACAAACTACGAATATAGGAAACGCATCTTGATGCAAGGTGATTTGAACGATGGGTTGTGTTGACATTTATTTATCCAAATCATGAGCAAAACACAAAGGAAGTCGATCAGGACCATATACTGTACCATTGTCAAGGTACCACAGTAATACACATTCATATATTAACTCAACTTTTGTGTTAAATGTCTCTTGAAATACTGGTATATTTCAGAAATTATATTAAGCACTCAAAGTAATTACACACTAATTTGGTGTTTCAAACCCTATAAATCACTATGTTAATTAAAGAATAGAATAATTATATACTTACTTTTTAACTTTTTCCAAATAATCGGATAAATTACCCAATATGTTCTATACAAAATGTGAAAATTTGAAAGGTCAAATCACACACCATGCACTAGCTACAACATAATTTAAACAAACTTTAGCTACTCACATCAAAATAGTGTCACACAAGCTATTCCCAAATTTTATATCAAAGCCAAAAAAGTTTGCTAACCTGAACTTTTCGTGCAACATGAAGTACAACTTGAAACTTGTCACTCCAACTTGCTTGTTCAGCAGTAGTCTTCAGGAAAGAAGGATGACAAACATGCAGAGCATGACTGGTAAACATATATGCAACATACCCATAACAAAGAAAACTTACCTCTGTTGTCTCTGTGTCAGAGATGGTTCCAAACCTGAAATAAGTTTTAACCAATAACAATAAGATTTTCTAATAATTTATTGATAAATTTAAGACAGGATTTTCAAGTATGTCGAAGAATACCTGCTGTAAATGAAGTTTGCAGAAAGTTGAACAATGACAAGAAACAAAAGTAACGAGACAATAAAACCATGCCAAAATGAAAACACATAGACCTGTGAAAGAAGAAGGCTTTCAGTGAAGGCACAAAATGTTTTGTTCAAAACAAATTACAATTAGTCTGAACATCTACAATTGCAATACTGTTTTTTTCTGTATACTTACCAAAAATATCAACATTGTTGCAGCAGGATTTTTCCAAGATAAAACCCAAGTTATTTTGTTAATAAATTCTTTGATTGGCTTTATCCCATTTGCTATATTTAACAGATACGGTATATGATATTCATTAATGAAAGTGTAATATCTTGTGCTGCATTCTGACAGCAACATAAATGATTAGTTGAAAAAGTATTAATTAATGTATTAAAGAAATACTCATCACTTACAAAATCTGTTAATATTATCTTTCAACCTGTAAATTACGGTAATAAAATAAAAGAATTAACCCATTAAGTTGCATTGTGTCCTACTTTATTAGTTTACTCTGTCTAACACCAGATGATATTATTCGTCAAGGGGAAATTAAAGGGTTAACACACAAGACAAACTCATTTGTCAATTGCTTACGTTTTCACTGCCAATGCAGGAACATCCTCATCAATGGTTTCTCCCACTGTTTCGTCATCTGAGAGATCAGACACAATGTTCCAAAACTAGAAATTGAAATATAATGTCATCATGCATGAACACTGTTCGATAGTGCATACAACCATGTTGTAAAAATTGCATTTGAACATCGTATACTCACAGTCAATACAATTCTCTGTGTTAGGGACACATACAAACTATATGCCCAGAATTTAAATCGAGAAACACGACTTTGGTCACCTAGAAACAAGTTTCAATAATTAAGTATTGCAATATTGTATATACATCAAACAACTGGACCTGAAATTAAAATACTATAATTAGGATATATTTCACCCATGCCATGTGGGGTAATTAAATTAATTAATGTACATTAATAATTTACATATAAATAAATAACTAATTTAATTTGCCTATTAATTAATAATAATTAATTAATAAATTATTACTTGATTAATTAATTATTAATCATTTAATTAATTAATAACTAATTGATTACTTAATAAACAAATAATTAATTAATAACTAATTGATTAATTAATAATTATAACATATTAATTAATTAAGTACACTTTGACCATAATTATTGTTCATATTACCTTGAGGTATTTCATATTGATCGTTATTGACAACATTTGTGTTGTTTGTAATCTGTTGGTCAGCACTGGTTGACTGCTCGTCCTGCTCAGTTGAATCATCTGCTCGCTTCCTCCTTCTGTTAAAACAATAGTCACACAACTCATATCAGATATTGTATAACTTTTTCCAGGCAGTACATTAAACCCACTAAGTTGCAATGTGCCCCAATGCAGCCTACTTTATTATTCTACTCTGTCTAATGCCAAACAATTTTACTTGTTAAGAGAAGAGCACAGCACTCAATGGGTTAATCAGACTGTCCATTGTTTAGTTAACCCATTAAGTAACAATGCACCCTAATGTGCCCTACTTTATCATCTTAATCTGTCTTAAGCAAGACAATTTTACTCATCTTGAAGGGGAGAGCACTCAGGTGCTCAATCAATGAATTAAGCTATACATTTTCATTAGAATTTCTTATCTTGAATCATACAGGTTTGGGTTGTAATTTGGGTAGTTGTTATTAGAACTTGAAGCATCACAGCTTATTAGGACAATCAAACCAGAATATGAATAATATACATGACATAACCTTAGCTTTGGAGTAGTATCATGATCGTTTTTCACTTTTTTTAGCTTCACTTCCAGTTGTTTTCGTTTGATTTTTTCTCTATCCAATTCCTTGGTCAGTTTACAAACATCGCTTTCCCGTAGCAAGGAAAGTTCTGCATCTAAAGCCAAACAAATCAAGGACTTAGCAACGAAGTATTATAAGCGATCCAACCTTTTCTGACCTGTGACGTCTGACAAAACATTTATCTTCCTCATCTAACCCCACTTATAAAGTGTTAAACCCCACCAAAATTTCGCTTCACCCCCTCCTATTTGGTGTGAAAGTCTCTAACCCTAACCCCTGCCGAAGCTCGCTCAGTAGTGCCGCTTGGACCCCACAGGAAATTTTTCCACTCCTCCTTTAAAAAAAATGAAAATCCACCCTTGATCTTCCTGCATGTTAACATATCAAACTGTCCAGACTACCAGTAACACATTCTATATTAGACTATTAGAGGTTGAGATTTGACTTCCACTACTGATAACGCCACCATCGAGGAACCATTTATAACCAATCAGATGCGTTTGAAATATATCCGATTAACCAATTTTAGAGGTTGTGGTAGCAGTAATAGAAGTCAAATTTGGACCTCGCTAATCTGACTTCCACTACCACTACAGTTACCATTAATCAGATGCAATGATTCTATCCATGCAATCAAATGCATATTAAGCCTTAGGCTGTGAAGGCTAATTTCCACTCAGGAAAATTATCCGTGGATTGGAACGGACAACAAAATTTTTCTTTGTCAGTGTTAAAGTTATTAGTTCCAACCCAGAGCTCACAAGACAAAGAAAACTTTTCTTGTCCGTTCCAATCCACAGATAATTTTCCTGAGTGGAAATTAGCCTTGAGAGGTAGCTATAGTGGAAACTGGTATCAATTCTGAACCTCCCTATTTGGCAATGGTTCCGATCATAACAGATTATTTATTATAACAGATTCCCGTTTTCCCAACTTTCATTTCCCAGCCAAACAAGAGTAAGTGGGTTAGCACTATTTTCCATCCAGCAAACTGACCTGATGTCATTTCCGCAAGATAGAAGAGGTGTTAAATGGCTATGTAACTAACCCAAACCCTACCCCTACTCTAACCCCTAACTCTAACCTCAACCCTAACTAACCCTAACCGAATTAATTAATAAAAAAATCAAAAAAGAAACGACTTTAGAAAATCGATAGGGCGGTTTGCTGGGTGGAAAAAAGTGCTAACCGAATAAGTGTTGATGAGAGTTGATCAGAAATGACCAGATATTATTAGCATATAGCAAAATCTGTTGTTGTCAACACTCATTAAAATACACGCTTCCGGAAAGTATGTCAGCTTGGTGGTCAAACATGCGCGACAGTTTCAATTCTCATCAACTCTTATCCTCGTTTTAGGCTTAATCTGCGTCCATACCCATCTCTTGGTTTTTGATCATAATATCAACTAATTGTTCCTGTAGCTGTTCAAGCTGATTTTCATAAATTTCCTTTTCTCCTTGAGTTAAAGTAGTTTTCTCAACACTTGAGCTGCTGTGTGCCTCGGCCCCTGCAGCCATACTGGTACTTTGTTCAGCTTTTAAACCACTGCCATTGTCATTTACAGGCCCATTTCCTTCAAAAGTTATCGAGCCATCCGAACTATTTGCATATGACACCCCAACATTTGTAGCACTGTTCGAATCTTCTCTCTGCGATTCAGACCCTAAAGCATCTCCCTTTTTCGGCCCAGAAACGCTGTCGATAAACTCCTTGCCTTGGTGTACAAAAAGATTAAGCCAGTCGCTTCCACGGCTCATTTTAAAACAAAATTTTAAACTTGGTTTCACTTCTAAAGTAAGTTCACTTTGAGCCACCATAATACATTACGTAATTTGACTTCCCAGCAATCTGATTGGTTGAAACCACTTATAAGGGATATACTAAAACGCCGCATTTACTGTAACGGGTTGTAAAACGCATACTGGAATTTGCCAGTCCAATATTGACCTATTCAACAGAGACGAAGCCATCTTGAGATCACAAAGCATTGTGGGACTATAATTGAACGTTTTGGAAGTGTTGTAAATCTGTGTAAATAGTACCTTTATTTTGTGCTTGTAACATAAAATCTGAGTTTAAATTACAAGTACGAATTTGCAAGGATTTTTTCAGGATAAAAATTAAATATTTGATAAAAATCGAGTTTAAAAATACTACTTACATTTAACTTTTGGCTTATTACGTAATTACGTTATAATTTATATATACACAATGTCCTCTCAAACAACGCAGAGAATTGTCTGGTGTATTTTAGATTGTAAGTTGCGAACTAAAGTCATCCCTTTTAAGCGCCCCACAGAGGCTTATTTAGTCTGAAGGAACCTCTATAGAGGTGGAATAGATCGAGCCGAAATGCAACGAGAAACACAGGAAAGTACGTGAACTTCCCGAAAAATTGACAAGACTAATTAGTACAAATGTATTTCGTTCTGGTAAAGATAAAACTGGGGAGGGGGGGTAGCTGGCTGCGTGTCAGTGTGATGGGACTGCACACAAACTAAGGGGAGAGGGCTGTGGTGTTTCTAAACTTTTTTAAAAAGAGGGGCTTACTAGAGAGGTGGGCTTATTGTTTGAAATAATGAAATGCAGACTTACTAGACTAAGAGAGGGCAATGCCAATAGAGGACTTAATGACGTAATCATGTTAGCTTGACGTAATCATATTCATATTTGATATATTTTTTCTATTTCCTATTTGCGAATGAATACGAACAGAAATTAGTCTTTCTCACGATGACGAATATCCGCCATTTTTGGGTGGCATCCAATCCTCGTTAACCAATACAAACAATTAAAACAATGTAAAAAGCAATTTTGCAAAATAAACTAACCATTTACGCAGCAAATTTACCATCATTCGTCCACAAAATTATAAAAAGTCGCTGTTATGTGGACTTATCTTGCAGACTTCAGCTGAAAAGCCACCCAAAAATGGCGGCGTGAGAAATTCTAATTGGTTCTGACGAGCAATGCAGGAGAAAGCTCATATAGTATGGTATATAAGCTCCCTGGTTCTAACTTTGTGTACAGGGCACTTAATGTCGCATAGGACATCATCATTCTTCTATTTATGAAGGGTGGAAACTGGCTAGCCAGAGGATTCGGAGGATGCAAGCAATGCTTGCCGACTACTTGTTGTATTTGGCTGTTCACAGTCTGACACGTCTGGACTGTTAGCGTCTGGGTCCCCTGTGGCTGAAATAGCACTTTCACTGTCCCTGTTGGGGATCGGGTTCTCCGTAATCGGGCTGTCTCTGTCTGCCATCGGGTTGTCCTGGCCTGCAATCGGGCTCTCGTTGCCTGCACTGCTATTCTTTCTTATTTGTACAGGACTACTGTCTGCACTTGGCCTCGCCTTGCCTGCAATCGGGCTGCCATTCCCTAATTTCGGGCTTGCATTGCCTGCACTCAGGCTACTTACATTCGGACTGTGTCTGCCCGCATTTAAGGTACTCGTGTCCACAACAACAGAACCATTCATTCCTGGTGTATGATTCCTTGTAATATCGGGCTCACTGTCAGAGTTCTTGCTACCCATAGTTCCAGGCGAATTAGATTCATCACTGTCTGAATCGGTTGTCATGGAGATAAGTTTTCTGGCGACGACCTGATCCACAACATCGTAGCAAAATGAATACTGCTCCTATGAAAAGAAAAATACCAATTTCCATCCAATATGTCATTTGCAATAACGTCACAAATAAATCAAAACATTAGGCCGAATGACTGAGGTTCTTCTCTGTAGCTCAGTTGGTTAAAGCACTGCACCGGAATCGCAGGGCCGCAGATTGTATATAATCTTCTACAAGTTTATTCTATCGAGCAAGAGATGCCCCAAAATCTCGACATACAAAGATCACTATAAGCAATCAGACTCACAAACAAGGTGTTTAAAAGGATTCTTACCTCAGTTTCAATGAGTTTAGGTCGTTGACCACGGATTAACTTGGCTGCCTGGAAAACATCTGCGTATTTCTCTCGCTCAACTTGATCGTACAAGGAACTGACTAAACAAAACACTCCTGTCGGACCAACACCGTGACTAGGTCGGAATGATAAAAATTTTGTTCATATTTTTAGAAAATATTTACTAACTTTATTCATATAGCGGATAGCTTTATCAATTCTAAACTGTTCTCTGTAGAGGTCAAGGACGGACTATCCCTAATTTCCCCTGTTTTATTACAGGAGAAAACCAGAACCAAATTACTAACTTTATATTATCAATTCAGAACGGTTTCTTCCAAGACGGGTAAAGACCTACCTAAAATGCTCATGTTTTGTGACTGGCTTTCAGAACCAAAGTGATCATTGTTCGTGACTCATTCTTTAGAAAGACGATTTCTATAGTTTTATTGTCTTTCATTGTTATAATCAACCAACCACGAGGCTGGACAGTATAGGTAGATGATGACCTCTCCAAGACGCCTGTTTATACGTTTATACAACACTATCTACACTGGACCCCAAGTGAAATATAGCCCTGGCTACGAGGTTGACATTGGACCCCATGTTTGAGACTTGATCGTATAGGATCAATTGAATAAGGAAAGGAAACCGCCCAATATAAATGCTAACAAATTCACTTACTCGCAATGAACTGTTATAGGATGATCAGAACTTTCTGCCATTTTGTGTTCCCTCACTTGCTCAATGAAATTAACCAGTGAAGTTTTATCTTTGGGAAAGCCATCTGGTGGCCAGTCACGGTAATGGTAGTGTGTTACAGTGTGACCATCACTTGTTTCCTACAATTTTTTCAAGAAACTTTCTCACATTTATTACCAATTCACAACAATAATGTCGAACTAATTATCTTAAGGAAATGTCTTCCAAGGGCTAAAAAAAATTTGAAGCGAGCCATACTCACGGACGAAAATAGCCTCAATTTACGAACGGTGACTTTGTCCGAAACATCCTGTGATTCCAAATGTATTTCAAATCTTCCACATGTCACAGCTTCATCTTCTGTGGGGAGGTCAGCATAATCGTCCTGGGAAGAAAATATTACCATTACATGTTAGACATTTACTTAGTGTTAAAGGCACAGTTCAGCCTTTTGAACGATGGTAGCCCTTTTCATTGAAAAAACTAACTAGGAAAATCAATTAAGCATAATTCAAAATCAGTAAACTCGATGTTTTTAACAATATAAATGTTTTCAAATGTTAAAAACATTAAGTTTGGTGATCTTGAATTATGCTTAATTGATTTTCCTAGTTAGTTTTTTCAATTATAAGGGCTGAAATGCGCCTTAAAAACCATCGTTCAACAGGCTGAACTGTGCCTTTAAGTAAACAGGTTAGTGCATGTCCTTCTCATGTCTTTAATCAGGGTTTCATTCCCACAATATGCCATTGTCTGATTATAATTTCACCTCAGTTACAAGTGAGAATAATGCTTCCAGTTTGACTCTACCAAACACGGCAGATTTTCTCCAGGAACTCCACTTTCCTCCTGTATATAACACTGGATCAACAAATGATGGCTCTTACTGGACTTCTACGAAGAACAGTTAAGAACTGATAAAAATATCCACGGGGTGGCCCTTACTGTGACACCTCTTGCATGGGAGTTTAGAACTGATAGAGCTATCCAGTATAAATAAAGTTAATTTAGTTTAGGTTTTCTCATGTAGTAACATCATGGAATTGCAAAGAATGACCTTAATAGACCTGTAAAGAGAACAGTTTAGAACTGATGGAGCTATCCAGTATAAATAAAGTTAATTTAGTTTAGGTTTTCTCATGTAGTAACATCATGGAATTGCAAAGAATGACCTTAATAGACCTGTAAAGAGAACAGTTTAGAACTGATGGAGCTATCCAGTATAAATAAAGTTAATTTAGTTTAGGTTTTCTCATGTAGTAACATCTGGATCAATAAGAGGACTTACTGGACCTCTAGGGAGAACAGTTTAGAACTGATGGAGCTATCCAGTACAAATAAAGTTAATTTAGTTTAGGTTTTCTCATGTAGTAACATCATGGAATTGCAAAGAATGACCTTAATAGACCTGTAAAGAGAACAGTTTAGAACTGATGGAGCTATCCAGTACAAATAAAGTTAATTTAGTTTAGGTTTCCCATGAGTAACACTAGACCTGACTTGCAAGGGATGACCTTACTTGACCTCTAAAGAGAACAGTTTAAAACTGACAGAGCTTTTCAGTACAAATAAAGTTAATTTAGTTTAGATTTTCCCATGAGTAACATTAGACCTGACTTGCAAGGGATGACCTTACTTGACCTCTAAAGAGAACAGTTTAAAACTGACAGAGCTTTTCAGTACAAATAAAGTTAGTTTAGTTTAGGTTTTCCCATGCAGTAACATCATGGACTTGCAAAGAATGACCTTAACAGACCTGTAAAGGGGAGGGGAGTGAAAAATTTCTTCCGGACTCAAAAAATTTTTTACAAACAAAAGGGGCAAAAAAAATTTTTTCGGACTAACATCGGTTTAATTAAGGTTTAAAACACATTTCCCCCCAAAAAACTTCTTAAAACAAGATTAAAACGCTTATTTTCCAAATTTGGGGGACACCCTTACACTGTACCTCCGATAGGTCCGGTAATTTTCCCTATTGAAAAGTCTCTGCACGAATTTTTTTTTCAAACATTTCTGGTGCACGAATTTTTTTCTTTCTATTTTCCCTGCTCGAATTTTATTGCTTTTCTAATGGTCCGCCCCTTAGAACTGATAGAGCTATTCGGTACAATAAAGTTAATTTAGTTTAAAGATAACATAAGAAGTATACCTTCTCCCATTGTTCATCGTCCAGTAACATGACAATGATGTTACAATTCGTACTAAAAATCATCCGATAGAAACATTCCGCGGTTTTTACCATGGGAGCCTGTGTTGCAATGTACTCTCGTTTCTTGCTAAAACCCTGCAAGGGAAGGAGCCTCATTCTAAATATGGCTTGTATGGTAGGTTTCCCCAGGTACTGGGGCTAGGGGGATTATCTTTACTGGACGTCTTGAAGTTTAAAGCTATCCAGTATCAATAAAATTGGTTTTAGTTTAGGTTTCCTCCAGAAGTAATACTGGCATTGATAAAAGACTCCCCATACTGGACATCAAGGGAGAATACTCAGAACAGTTTAGAGCTGATACAGCTATCCAGTATCAATAAAATTGTTTTCAGTTTAGGATTCCTACTGAAACAACACAAGGATTAATAAGAGACTTCCCATACTGAACATCAAAGGTTACTGTAGAAGGGAGAGCATTCAGAACAGTTTAGAGCTGATAGAGCTATCCAGTATCAATAAAATTGTTTTCAGTTTAGGATTCCTACTGAAACAACACAAGGATTAATAAGAGACTTCCCATACTGAACATCGAGGGTGAGAAGGGAGAGTATTCAGAACAGTTTAGAGCTGGTAGAGCTATCCAGTATAAATAAAATTGGTTCAGTTCACGTTTCTTCCTGACGTATTACGCTAGTCCACTAGACCACACGGGAGAACACCCAGAACGTTTTAAATAAAATAAAACTAACAAAGCTATGCATGCAGTATATTAAATAAAATGCCAATCAAGTAAAAAGATAATTACTTACATCAATGAAACTAGCGTTGATGTAATCCGCTCCGTCAATTCCAAGAACGAGTGGCAACTTCACTCTCGTTCTTTCAACTGGAAAAAACAACAATGCAACAATTTTTCAAATCACTGGATGAAAAGAATTTTTAACTTAATTAAAAAACGCCCACTTACCAGGCAAAATGTCTTTTCGTCTGTTTTTACCAACATTGCAAGTTTTCTTTCCAGCCCATTTGTGTTTTTCAGGATGTTTAGTGCGGTTTATATCCTGAAAGGGTACATAACAGGACAGCTGTGGATAAAGAGGGATACAACTACCGGAAGTTATTGAAGTCAGTTCCAGTCCCTTTCTATTGTTTTTGTGTGCGCGGTTAACACTGGAAGGAGCCGAAATTTCGTATTTTGACATCGATTTAAAGAAATATCACTATGGTTTTATGAACTGAAAACTTGTTTAGCAATACGGTCCGTTAGAAAAAAATAGAATTAGCTGGGGTGGTATTAAAACTGTTTGCGACACGTCACAGCCGCCATGTTGGTGTTCCAATTCAAAAGAATTTTAATTAGACTCTTTTTGTCTGGAACACCAACATGGCCGCCACGGCTTTTGTTGAGTTAGTCCCTGGGGAATGAGTGCAAACACTCTTATTGGATGTCATTTCAGCCATCGGTCGAATGATTTCCACATATATAGAGCTGACTGATTATGTCAAAATTACGTGACTTCTTAGCATGACGCAATATTCTCGCGTGACTGCAAGACCTGAATAAATTAAGTTGTTTCATGCCTACCTCAAATTCTTCTTTTAATCGACTTTTTTTAGCATCAGACCTGACCGCGCGCAATGACTGGAGACGTTTATGAAATTCTCTGATTGGTATGTTTGTATCTCCGAAGTTTATGTGTTCCAATATGCAGTCATGAACGAATATATACTGACTCTGAAATGAAAGGAAATGAATGCATTTAGACCTAAGTGAGGTAATCTTAAAACTCGCAATTTGTTACACCTAATTGGCCAGGAACAGTTGCGAAAAATTTTTAGTTCGATCATCACTGGTATGCTTACGTGAAACTGAGTAATAACATGATGATAATCGAACTGTGAGCAAAAATTAGTAGTAAAAAGTAGTCAAGCAAGACTTTACAGTAGTCAAGCAAGACTTTACAGTAGTCAAGCAAGACTTTACAGTAGTCAAGCAAGACTTTACAGTAGTCAAGCAAGACTTTACAGTAGTCAAGCAAGACTTTATATACAGTAGTCAAGCAAGACTTTACAGTAGTCAAGCAAGACTTTACAGTAGTCAAGCAAGACTTTACAGTAGTCAAGCAAGACTTTACAGTAGTCAAGCAAGACTTTACAGTAGTCAAGCAAGACTTTACAGTAGTCAAGCAAGACTTTACAGTAGTCAAGCAAGACTTTACAGTAGTCAAGCAACACTTTACAGTGGTCAAGCAAGACTTTACAGTAGTCAAGCAAGACTTTACAGTAGTCAAGCAAGTTGATGGGCGGGCGGCGCACATGACCGAGCTGGCAGAGTACCCCTCCCTCCCTCTACCAGATCATGCTGGATCCATCCCTGGAAATGTCGATCGACAAAAAACTTCCCACAAGAATAAACAACCGAGTCACTTGTTTCTTACTTACTTCTTCTTGAACAAGTGCAATTCTCTGTGTGCGAATGTGATTTAGAAAGTTGAAGACATCCACAGAATTGTCATCTTCAATCCTGTCCATCATGCTATCTATGACCATGTACACACCAGAACGACCCACACCAGCACTGCAACCAAAATATATTCATGTGGTCATCTTGGAAAAATTGTTGGCGTAACCGCAGTTTCGTTTAGTAAAAGAGGACATTTTGTTTTTGTCCGGAAGTGAATAGTAGAAAGATATCCGGATCTGAGCAACCAATCAAATTGCGTGAAAAGCACTATCCAATATTAGTATAATTCCAGTATTGAAAAGTGGCCTTTGAGCAAAAGACAAACTCACAAACCTGCAATGAACGACGGGAGGTCCAGCATCAGGGGGATTGGCAGATTTTGAATGACGTATAAACCGCAAGAGCGCAATCTGGTGGACAGGGACGTCATGATCTGGCCATTCTGTAAACTGAAACTGTTGAATAACACGAGGCTCACTTTCACTTTTGATCTGGAATAAGGAAGTAATCTAATTAACTTCTAAGTATTTTAATTACCTCTTAAGAATATTAGAAGTGGTTTCTAATCAGAATGTGGAGTGGCAGAATCGGAGTTGAAATATTAATTTAAAATTTTACTGGTATCACAATCTCACTAGAAGTTGAGATTGTCATGTAGTATTTTCAAGTTGAGATTGTCATGTAGTATTTTCAAGTTGAGAAGTTGAGATTGTCATGTAGTATTTTCAAGTTGAGAAGTTGAGATTGTCATGTAGTATTTTCACTGAAGATCGAAATACAATTATTTGTTGTCGTGTTCATATACACATGTTATTTATCTGAATGACGTTTCCAGGTACTTTGTGAAAAGCGTATTTTCTTTGATTTACAATTTTTAGTTTTGACTCTATTTGATAAAATAAGAACCTGCTTTGAAATTCTAACCTAAACAGGTTCTTATTTCAAGGGGTCTAAATAAAAATGTTTGGTTAACAGGTTAACAGGCAATTTTTTTCAATGTCACGTATTTGCAATGAAAAGTGTTCAAAACCTAAAATCTTCTTGGCGTTCCTCTCAAAATTACTTTGTTTTAGCTTTATTCTCTAGTCTATACAGTTAGCTACATTTTTAAATGCGTCTGCTGGTTGAGAAACATAAAATAATAGTTCAAAAATGGTCAATTAAAAAACAATTATCAATGATGTTTTAAAATTGACGCCATATTTACAGTCATATAAGCAAAACTTACTGAAGTTCAGACATCATTTTCTCTTTGGCGTACCATCTAAAATCTCTTCGTTTTAGCCTTATTTTACAGATAAAGCACTAAACATACTTTTTAAGTTTGTTTGCCGATTGAGAAACGTATCGAAAAATAAAAATTTTGAATTTAGTCATAACCTCAAGTGATATATTATACGCATTAGTTTTGAGCGCGTGTTACGTAACATACAAAAAAATCTCCTCTTAATCTTAAATTCTAGGTTCTTATATATGCGGGGTTTTACTGTATTGACATGTACAATATCTGGAAACACTTGACCCATGTTAGATTTAAAGCCAGTATCTTCAGTATATACCTACAATATACACACCTTAATATAATGAAGCTGGTCAGGAGCAGGTTCAACTGACAATGTACGTATGACATAATTAGCAAATACTTCCTCTTTCATCATCGTCACTGTTAGGAAACCGTATGTAGTTGATCCTTTGTTAGGCCAATATTGCACACATTTCGACTAAAATAACATAACATTGAAGTGTTCAGGGTAAAGTACAGCAACTGGCAACTGTGTGGAGGTAAAATCTGCTGTGTTGGTGTAATGTACTCAGGTGAATAAGATGTTTGTGTGATGTTACTCTGAGTGTATATCCACACCGGGCAGGCTTGAAAAATATGCCTGGCCACGGCGGGATTCGAACCTACGACCTTTGGAACACTGTGTGGAGGTAAGTTCCACGCTGTCTAAACACTATCGTGCAGCAGATAATGGTCAACCTGTAGTTATCAGAGTGAGAAAATAACGTTGAGTATTTTCATTATGTGAAGTGAATCAAGGCCGGATTCTCGTGGAAATTGTGGGAGAGGTGGAAAAAATTTAGGGGAGGTGCAGCGGTCTAGCTCACGACCCCATGCAAAGTTAGGGCTTAGAACGGGAAAAAGTCAACGACGTGACGTATGCATGTAGTGTACATATTAACAAATTATGACTGTACAACTCATCCAATTTTGCCCTTACTACAAAGTTTATTTCAAAACATTGCATTAAAAGGGTACTTGTTAATGCTATGGATTTTAGTACATCCAAGTGCAAAGTTTTGCATATGTCACGAAAAAAGTCTGCTGGGTCTCTTCTGCGCGAATATTATTTATCTGGGCATAAATTGGACGCTCCTGTTGAAACACGAGATCTTGGTGTCACTGTTACAAGAGATTTATCATGGGGGGCACACATTGAACAGATGTGTGCTAAGTCAAACAAAACTCTTGGCCTAGTAAAGCGCGTCTCCAAAGACTTCCACGACCGTTCCATTAGACTGCTCCTATACGTGTCATTAGTTAGACCTCTACTAGAGTACGCGAGTAGTCTATGGTCACCTTACACAGTAAAGCACAAGAAACTTATCGAAAATATACAGCGTC